CATCACTGCCAAAGCCTGCAGGAAGTGTCCACAGAACACACAGAAACAACCCAGCACAGAATCACAGAGGCATGAATTTCAACTCAGTGCCCCCAGCCCTGCCTTGCCATAGGGATAATGAGAGCAAAGCTTGTGTTGGGGTTGGGGCAGGGAAGGGCGAGGCAGAGAGAGCTCTTACAGCAGCCTCAAGCCCAGAAACAAATGTGTCCACAAAAAACTGGTCCAGAGCAGAGCTGTAAACATGAGATGTCTGTGTACAGCCAGCTGTTCCTCTCCAAATGCACAGAGGAGCTGGGATGGCACAGAACCGCGGTGTTCTGCACACACTGATGATCTTCATATGAGAGTTAGCACCTCATCAAGAGGAGCCTCAAAAGTGGCTCCACAGAGCTCTCCCTGTTAGAGCTTTAAGTGGGGATCACAGCCCCTTAAATCAGTCCACTCTTTCTTTTCCTACCTCCAACCCCCAAGGGTTGCCATGCAAACGTTTTACAGAAATCACAGATTTAGTAGTTACTAAAAAAGTTACTTCTTTTTAATCATTATCATTATTCCTTAACGGAGCAGCCATTGGTCACAAGTTTCTGTAAGTAAATCAGGACTTTGGTAAAAAAGAAGTTTTCCACTGTGTGTGTTTAACTCCTTGATTATTGTAACAGACAGAGGAAAAGGTGCTTACAGGGAAGGATTAGCACCATGGCAACAGTTCAGTCCAGAGGTAGAAAGGTTTTTTTAGGTTTCCTACACGCAAGCAGAGTTGTAAAGAAAGAGAGCAGCATGGATTAGAACCATCCTTACACTTAATATCAACAGACCTTTGGGTACACACAATACACTGAGATTTGCCACTTCAAATGGATCTTTTGGGGATGGTACCTGATGGCTCTTCTCCACATCAGAAAGTTTATGTTTCTCTTTGAAGTGCAGCAGCCTGTGCTCAGCCCTGGCATGTCTGTGCCTGACACCATTATTCACAGCGCTCACACCGTGTTCTGTCTCAGTTCCTTTCTCAGCCACCAACTTTGTGGTTTTGACCCTGGATGAGGAAATAAAAGCACATCTCTGCATCAGAGAAAAGCTTTTAGGAAAATCACAGGATGGCCTGGGGTGAAAAGGACCTCAGTGCTCATCCAGTTCAACCCCCTGCTCTGTGCAGGTCGCCAACCAGCAGCCCAGGCTGCCCAGAGCCACATCCAGCCTGGCCTTGAATGCCTGCAGGGATGGGGCATCCACAGCCTCCTTGGGCAACCTGTTCCAGTGCCTCACCACCCTCTGGGGGAAAAACTTCCTCCCAATATCCAACCTAAACCTCCCATCTCAGTTTAAAGCCACTCCCCTTGTCCCATCACCATCCAGCCTCACAAACAGCCGTTCCCCCTCCTGTTTATAGGCTCCCTTCAAGTACTGTAAGGCCACAATGAGGTTTCCCTGGAGCTTCTCTTCTCCAAGCTAAACAAGCCCAGTTCCCCCAACCTTTCCTCACAGGAGAGCTGCTGCAGCTCTCTGATCATCTTAGTGGCCCTCCTCTGGACCCGATCTAAGAGCTCCACGTCCTTCCTAACGTCAAGGTCTCTCACGAAGGGCATTTGCTATGGGAATGCAGGGCTGCCTCCTGCTGGCAGCTCTCCATGGCCTGATTCTGGCAGAGCTCGGTGACATCGGTGACAGTATGACTGCATCTTCATTTTCCAACCATCACACAAACCTCACACGGTGTGGTTACAAGCACACAAAGCCGGGGCAGATCGCTCACCTCCTCCGGAAGAGAATGCCAAACACACTGGTGAGCGTGGATGCGGATTCTGCCTGCTGTTCTGTGCTGGCTCTGTCAGGAGGAGACCAACTGTTCCCATCAACACCCACAGATTTGCGTAATTTCCTGATTAGAAAGAATAAAAGAATTTGTATCACAGCGCAGTGGTGGGTCTGTGCTCACAGATCTCCCACAGGAGCTATTTTACAGGAGTCGTGCTGACAGAAGGCGTGTTTCTAAACAGAATAACTTGCACTGACAGAAGTTACGTACGCATTCATAGGACATCAGTACCGTCAGGAAGGGAACTGAAAAGCATCCAGCAGGCAAAATCTAGATTGTTTTTTTCCATAAGAAATCTAACGGAGGCAGAAATCTAACCACATCCCTCTTTCTGTGCTCCTAAACATTCCATCAACATTTGCACTGAGACATCTAACAGTTAAATACCTCACAGCTGACCTGTAACATCTCCTGCAGGAGCAAAGACAACTGCCAACAGTGACTGCACTGCAGCCATATCCTTCACTCATTAGCCCTGTCTCAACACACACCAGCAACTGGGGGCAGTTAGCACCAAAGCAGGACACCAACCTTTATGCAGAATCCTGAGGATGCTTTTTTATACAGAACACCCTCCTGTAGCCAAGGATAAAACCTCTATTAAAGAGCCACCTTAGGAATAGAAGGGCCAACTGCTCAGTGAAGCAGACCTACCCCAGCCTGGGATCCTCATTGCTTTCGTGTTCATTATGAGGAGACACAAAACAAAAAACTCTCATTCTCACGTTTATGGGTAAATGCTATTTACATCCAGACAGAAGACATTTACCCACTAACTTCAATTCACCCTATGCTCCGATCCCAACAAATAAACCCATTACCTCTCTCACCTCCTCCTCCTGCTGAGGCCGTTGTTTCCTGATGTTCTGTTCATCTGGGTGGACACGATTTGGCAGTGAACAGTTCCCATCAGTAACATAAGGCACATTGGTCCCATGACTTCACTTGCATTCACAACAGGCACCACGAAATACAATATAACTGCTATGACTGAAAAGGAGAAAAACTCATCAAATGCAAAAATTAGCAGCGTGGCCTCATTTCTGGTTATTTTTCACTCTGCTTTCTAACTTCAGCCAAAATGAGTGTCACACATCTCGTTAGGCCTTGCTCATTCTACAAAGCAGCCTTCTCAAAACAGGAAGAGAAAGCACAAAGAAGGAGATTGAAAATACATCTGAAATAAATGTGGGTGCCCTGAAATGTGTCCCATGAAGGACCAACTCATCACTTCTGGTAGATGAGGTTCCACATCTGTTCAGAACAGCATAGTGACACAACATGGGTTGACATGAGAAGTCTGAGCTGCAAATCTTTGCGCTGTATCAGAAGGGCTCCTGAACACTTCTTCAATGGTGGCGAACAGAAATGTAACCAGGGGACAAACACTGGACAAAGTACCGAACAGAGAGGGGTGCCTTGGTACAACATGAGCAAAATTCAAAGCTCTGCTCATCTCGGTGATCACTGCCTCCCAGTGCCCTTCTGCATGTGGTACTGAAGTGCCATCACAGCTCACACTGACTGCAATGCTGGGGAAGTCCTTGGGAGCAGCCCTGCAGAGAAGGATCTGGGGGTCCTGATGGATGAAATGCTTAACATGAGCCAGCAGTGTGTGATTACAGCTCGGAAAGCAAATGGGATCCTGGGCTCCATCAGCAGAGGGGTGGCCAGCAGGGACAGGGAGGTGATCGTCCCCCTCTGCTCTGCTCTTGTGGGGCCCCACCTGCAGTGCTGTGTCCAGGTCTGGAGCCCCCAGTACAAGAAAGACAGGGAGCTGTTGGAGAGGGTCCAGAGGAGCCACAGAGATGATCAGGGGGCTGCAGCACCTCCCTACAAGGACAGGCTGAGGGAGCTGGGCTTGTTCAGCCTGGAGAAAAGAAGGCTGTGGGGTGACCTCATTGCAGCCTGCAGTACCTAAAGGGAGCCTACAAACAGGAGGGGAATCAACTCTTGGAAAGGGGAGATGACAGCAGGACAAGGGGAAGTGGTTTGACGTTGAGGGAGGGAAGATTGAGGTTGGATGTCAGGGAAGTTTTTTCCTATGAGAGTGGTGAGGTGCTGGAACAGCTGCCCAGAGAGGCTGTGATGCCCCGTGCATCCCTGGAGGTGTTCAAGGCCGGGTTGGATGGGGCCCTGGGCAGGTATGAAATGTGGAGGTTGGTGGCCCTGCGTGTGGCAGGGGGTTGGAGCTTCGTGATCCTCGAGGTCCCTTCCAACCCAGGACATTCTGTGATTCTGGGAAGGATGGCAGGCAGGGGCTGAGCACGGCACAGACAAAGGGATTTCAGGCAGCATCCTTAGCCTTTCCATTGCAGCCTATGAAAGCACAGGACGTTGCTATAGGAAAAAAGAGCAGCCGCTGCTTACCTTGCATAACATAGAGCACCAGGAGCCACGTGAAAATGCGCTGGGACGTAACCTGGATCCACCACTGACTGAACAGCGGGAAGAACACAACCCTCACGATTCCCTTCCGAGTCAGCGACGTCCAGGGGATCTCGGGCTTCGCTTTGGCAAACGTAGAACCTCAAAGCAGACACAAACCGCTCCGTGCCGGCGAACCGCAACGACTCCCCTGCGGGCCGCTTCCCCTCCGGCCGAAGCCAACCGCCGCAGCCCCGAGGCGCCGCTCCGCCCGCCCTTATCGCGCCCAGCTCCCGCCGTGCCGCCCCGCCCGCGCTCCCTGTGGAGCCGCCCCGTTCACAGCGTCTCCCCCCAGCTCCCCCCCCCGCACCTCGGATCAGATCCACGTCGATCAGATCGGCCTGGATTCGCCCCTTCCTTTTCGGCTTGCTCTTGAAGCCCTGCGAAGCCGGGAACAAAAGGGCCGTGAACCGCGCGGGCCGCAGCGCAGCGCCGGGAGGGCGGGGGGGGGGGGAAACGTTACCTTCATCTCCGTCTGCTCGATCGCCTTCTCCCATATCTGCTGATCGTAGGCCCCGACCTGAAGGGGGAGGAGGCTGAGCGCTCGGCCGGGCCCGCGCCCGCCCCGCCCCGCGGCGCCCTCACCTTCTTCTGGTACCAGGAGATCGCGTCCCGCTCGCGGGCGGCCATGCGGCTCCGGCCCCTCAGCGCGGCCCGCCTCAGCCCGGCTCGGTTCCGCCCAGCCCAACCCGCTCCCCCCGGAGCCGCAGTTACCGCCCGCCGCCCCGCCCCGCATTAAAGACGCGTCCAAACGGTAAAGGACAAAAATCAGACTTTGTTTATTAAAAAAATACTTTTTACAGGGAGGAAAGAAAAAAAAATTATTATTATTATTATTTTTTCTATGCATTCCGTTGGACTATTTTACAAAGAAACAGCTCGGACACGGGTACAGTCAGCTACTGAAAGAAACGCACCGCAGTAAGGATTATTCACAGAGAGGCTTTAGAGCTTTACCTGCGTACACGACTTAGTATAAAAACCTCCGTAAAACACTTGCTAAATGTCAATAAATACGCTAAGGCCGCACAAAGCAAACAGCCTTCCAGGCAATGGGACGCGTCCTCGGTCGGCAAAGGCTTCGTAAATTAACCACAGAAAACCGTAGCTGCCAATCAAACCTAATCACAAAACAGCAACACGGAAACTGCTACACACGTTGTACAGAGAAACCAGAAGCGTTGGAAGTTCCTTAAACTATTCGAGAGTGCCACAGCAGGTCGCCTTCTCTATGCCGTGTGCTTTGCCCCCCATCAGCTCTGAAGTTGGGATTTTGGGGCTGGATCCCTCCCTGAATCGGCACCTGCAACCAGCCGGCTGTGCCAGGTGATGGATGAGAGCTTCTGCCCACAGTAGAAGCTCTGACAGTTCTGTCCCACTGTAAGGGGTGAGGAGAGCTGATAGCGTACAGAACACAGCCCTTTTTTACGTATGGTGACATCTGTGCCTATGAAGAGAGCCAATAAATCCCCTGAGAACACTGCACTGAGCATCCCAGCTTCCCAAAGAGGCGGTGTCAGATGTGCACAAAGTGACCAAAGCACATCTGAAGGAGAGGACGGAGCTCAGCGGAACCTCACCCACAATCTGCATTCTGCTATCGCTTCTGGCACAGCTCCCTCCTATGCTTCACATTCTGAGAACAAACCTAAGTGTGCTATTAAACAGATGTTATCAGTGACTGAGCATGGAGAGAGCACGATGCTATGGGGCACATCCCTCCAACCAGAGACATCCCGGAACTTTTGGGATATTTCAGGCAGCGCCCACAGATTTCACTACAGCAGTTCTAAAAGAAACACAAGCCATTCCCATCTTCTGCCTTTATCCATTTAGAAGACACTATCAGAATTCACACCAAGGATTCCCAAATTGATTTCCCTTCATTCTGCCTCAAACACAAAGCAGACAGGTCAGTGTGCAAGGGGCTCTTAATCTGTGTTACTGGGCCTTTAAAGGTATGTTTGTGGGATCACTGGAGTACCTGCAGCTCTGTCAGCTCCTGAGCAAAACCTCACTGCATCGCATTGCCCTGCTGACACGGCCAGAACAGCACGTGAGAGAAGGAAAACGGGCACTTGGAAGACTAGCAGACTTCTTAAAAGGAAAGAACGCCCTCAGGTGATACGATCTTCAGACATGAAGGATGAACTGAAACCACTATTGCCTGTGAGGAATTTTACTTTGCACAACCCTTAAAGCTATGAAATTCCTCTCAACATAAGAAGTGGAAAAAAAAACCCACCAGAGAACAGACAGCTCGTTAACGAACCGGTCCAGATGATCTAGGATTTCTGCTAAGATTAAATTACACCCCTGCATGAATCACATTTTATCATAAAAGCTTTCCATTCTAACACCTTATTTACACAGATTACTAAACGAGTCACTACCACTTCAATCTGTAAATTAGTTTTAAATTGAAATATTTCCTAGTCCTCATTTCTGTACCGAAGACAATACATACATACACATAAGGAGTAATACAGGCTCTAACTAATCACTGCAGTATCATCTGATGATTTTTTCTTTCTATCAGTTTAAAATAGTGACCTCTACACTGAGGTGCTAATATGTATATAAAAGCCTACACAAACAATATTGCACAAAGTAATTTTTATAATAGAGTAACATATTTTAGAGACCCTTATAAAGAGAAGAGTAATAATTGATATTAAAAAGATGCGTCCAGAACTAACACAGCATCTTTGCATTTGTCTACTCTAACATAGTGTTTCAAATCTTTCCTACCCTGGTGAGGATGAGAACAGATAAAGCCATCTGGAGACAGCTTGAGTTGCACCAAAACCCAACTTGTACTCTAAATGTGGGTAGGGGGAAGGGAGAGGGTGAGAGGGACAGGATCGTTCCTTTCAGTGACCGGAAAGGGCAGCAATAAATGGGGTGAGTGAAAGTCAAATACAGATTACATATTAACATTTAGAAATATTGAAAGGTCGTTCAAGAACTGTTGAGAGCTGACACTCCAAGTATTCAGCACCTACCACTGATTCTTCCACAGTACCTGGGCACCCAAAAGCTACACATGGAAACAGCAGTCCGATGCCATAATACTTTTTATTGTGAAACAGTAATACAGAGCTTCCTAGAAAATGGACATTCTGATGGTGGAAGTCAGTCACCAACCCAACGCTGTTATATTAAGTGCATCAGTACAAGGGAAAGTGTGGTTCCATTGGACATGTAGTACGACCCGATCAAAACAAGCTGCCAAGTCGGTTAGCATTTGAAAGCCTTAAAGTGCTCAAAGATAACAAGTTCCTCCACAAGTCTACCAACAGGTTCTCTGCCTTCCACACTGGTATTACATCCAGAGGAGGCAGCTTTTGGGAGCAAAACCCTCGCGCCAAGTAGCACAAGCAGCGCAATGATGAGCGTTAGGTCAGTAAGCCATGGCATTTCAACAGGATCAGACACTGCCTTCAGTTGGATTTACAGATCACCTTTGTAGGATCTGTAAGAAATACAGAGCAATTCCTACAGCTCGTTTAGAAACCAACTCGCATATGAACCGCGTCAACAACAGACACCAAATATTTCACAAATTGTCCACAAAAGTGCTGTGCTTTCTCTTTTTTCCTAGCAATTAAATTGTGATGGGGAAAGTTCCTACAAGTCTTCTACAAAAGCATCACTTTCTGGTGAAGAGAGTGAAAAATCGGGAGATAACACCAAGCAGTAGAGTTAAATCATTTTATGCTCCTGGAGGAATTTCATTCTGGTTTTGAGGAGATATTCAATATCTCATTAGTTAAACAGAAAGAAGTGGTAGACCACTGTTACAGGTTGTACTAAGGGGTTAAAATACAACTTGAATTTTGCATAATCTGTGTAAAAAAGATATGCTTGACATTTTGGAATGTCACCTTTCTTTATAGAATTATAGGCAAGATTTCTCCAATAAAACATAAGCCAGTTATAAAACTATAACTTCACATCAAAATTTTAAAAAGTAGTTAAAAAATGTTTGATTATATACATATCACACAGAAGAGACTGCATGATCCTGCGGATTGTGTTGCTGATCAGACTCTGTTTTAAAACCTGGAAGGGGCTGGGCCACCTGATCTGCTTGCACAAGTCCTGAAAGCGAAGCAACAGAGGAGGAGAGCATCCCTGTGGTAAGCTGCATTTCTATGCCTGGTTCTTCACACTCTGTTTTAACACTCACACATCGGGCTTCACCTCTGGGCTCTGTCTTTCCAGGAATGCTACTGTTCAAGTTTGAATCGCTCTCTGTGTTTTGAGAAGTCTCCCCCACGGGGTGATATTGTTTAAGTCGTATGTGCCAGGCTAAGCTGCAGACTGCTGACACTGTTTTGAACTGATGAATGACATTCCTAGGGATGAAGTAGATGTCATTGTCACACAACTGAATCCTAGCATAGCGAATGCCTTCCCGTCTCATTTGGTTTAGTTTGGCTTCATCCACCCATTGAACACACTGAGAGGAGGAAAGATGGTAAAGTTAGTGCTGGACTCTGTTCAGGGCAAATAATTCAGTACCCACCTAAAATAACATACTTTGGATCTGCATCACATTTCTGTTTAAGAAGCTTTCTTTTTTTTTTTTTTCTAAACAAGAATTTTGTTCTTTGAGGGCCACCAATCATCATCACTACAGACATGACAATAACAGAAGACCGCCGTGTGACTCAGAGCAGGAATCCCAGTTTGGTAGAAGGGAAACAGAGGAAGGAAAACTGCATAAGGGAGCTGAGAACTGATGGCCACAGGGGTACAGAAGGGGTGGCTGCACAATGAACCTGAAAACTGTCGAGCTTCCTACAAAGTGCTGTCAGTAGGAAAGCTCAAATACCTGTGACACCGGTGGTTCATGCAGGTCCAGCTGAAGTCTCTGCACAACATCAGTGAAATCTTCAGCATGGAAACAAACCACATCTTTGGTTATACGAGGCTGGTCGCTCCTACAAAGAGATGAGAAGTGCAAGGATTTATAAAGAACTTCAGTTATAGATGATTGTTTCATTGAACAAACTACTTTCTTTTCTACTGGGCACAAAGTCTCATCACTCCTCAGTAGATATGCATGCTGTATCAGAAAGGAGGCACAGTCTGTAGATAGTTGTTTTTTTTTAATGCATATACAACAGAAGCAATGATTTGGTGGACAAATACCATACTGATATGCCAGAAAATGAGGCTGACATTTGCTGTACACCAAAGTATCTTGGAGCTACAATTCGCCTCCACTCTTTTATTCTGTGATTAGGCAAAATAACATTGTATAAAAGAAAAAACGCAGAGTAACCATGTGGCACCCTGAAGCTGTAATGAGGACAATATTAATCAGCTGGTTTTTAATCTAATGGCTGTGAACCAGATAAAAGAAGTTCTGGCATGTGTTTTTCCATATGAAAACTTAGCAGTACTGCTAATGATGCTATTAAAAACTATTATGAAAAACCCAGGAGGCTGTGGATGCCCCATTCCTGCAGGCATTCAAGGCCAGGCTGGATGTGGCTCTGGGCAGCCTGGGCTGCTGGTTGGGGACCTGCACACAGCAGGGGGTTGGAACTGGATGAGCATTGTGCTCCTTTGCAACCCAGGCCATGCTGTGATTCTCTCATCTACAGTAATTGTTAGAAATAACTATGCAAATCTAGAGTTTCTGTGTAAGGTCAACAGCAACACCTCACGCACACGGAGTGAGAAAACACTGCAGCTTTAAAGTCCATTATTGAGTTCCTAGATTGCTGTCTACAAAAAGTAGCACTAATACAGCTGTTTAGGAAAAGAACAGCCACAGCCACAGTCCAGGTGTGGTACCTGGAGGCTCACTCTGTATGTCATAAATGTTTTTGTAAACTTGTTACAACTTCAGTACTCCCTCAACAAGAGAGAAATATAATAGACATATGCCTTACATTTCTCAAGCTACAGACGGCATTTATTTCATTACAGGGTTTAGACAATTTCTTTAATTAGCCTTTTTTCCCCAATGGATTTTCTTCTCAGGGAGAAAACATTGAGATTTGCCCCCTCCCATTACAGCAGTAGCATTTCAGTGGCACTTACCATTCCCCAAACTGCACAGCCTTCAGAACACCTACAGCAGCCGTGCTCTGCCAGTCAAACCCCTGACCCACATGGTCAGCATGAGCCCTTGTTCTGTCTTCAAACAGAACCTCACGGGGCTCGCTGGTCCGAGGTAGGTACTGGAGATTCTTTATTTCATTCATTGACCTGTAGCATAATTAAAAGACACACTAAGATCTGTGGCAAACTGCTCAGAAAAACAAATGCTTGTATTGAAGTAATCTTTACATGCTGTATGCTGCAGGTTTCAAAATCAAAGGCCAAAGCATTTCCTTCACTCTGGTTATTTGACAACAAAAGACCGAATCCCATCAAAACACGCTTCCAATTTTTCATCTAAAATCAGTTCTACAGCACAATCTGAGAAAGACAGAAAGTACATCTACACACCACAGCATTTCCTGTGATAGCACTAACACTAAAATACAGCTCTAGAGGTTTAAGGATCTAAGTTGTTTTTGAGCATTAAACTCCCCAAATTAGTTCTTCCTCCAGAAATCAGCTGAAGGATTGAAGTGTCTCCTGGGGGCTGTGAGAACTGGTTTTAACACTAAGGAAGCACCGATGAAGGCCACATTACTTTGAGAAGTGACAGAACTACAATCGCAAGTGATAAATCTACAACGTGATATTTGCACATTCAGCTCAGTTCACTGAGCTAATCAAACAGAAATGAAAATGAAGAACGTAAGCTTGAGAGAGCTGAAGAACTAATTACATCTAAAACATCAAGGTGTTGTTCTCGAGTCCGAAGAACACAACTGCAGTGTTCTTCCTTTAGAGAGAAAGAGAAGCCAAGGATTACCGGCGCCGTTTGAAAGGCGATTTTGGCATATCAGCTGTTGGGATCATCTGCTCTCCTGGTCTCACCCACATTATGGGACCATCATCACTTTGTGACCTGCACTGAAGCCTGAGGCTTGAAAGAGTACCCCAGGGCAAAGTCATCTAAAAAAAGAAAAAAAAGGGAGAAAAAACACTGGGTGAGATGGAAAAACTAAATGATGCCTCGTTCAAACTTACTACCAAAGCTGACACTCTTTATGAAGTAAGATATATTCCAAGGTAACTTCAAACTCAGTTTTCAGGGAAGTAGATAACTGGGTAGCTGATACACGATAGTGTAAATCATAATCAGCTTTGGAGTGATTTACAGAACCATAGCCAGTTTGTTCATACCTTCCATTTGGATACAGGAAAGAGTGCACCTCCATCCTCAGGAGCCCCAGTGATATCAATGGGGAAAACACTTTTAAGGTTTCTAATCACTTGAAAATATATGAATCTTAGCAATCTTTTGAACACCTAATGATGCACTTAAAGTAAACACCACAAGTTCCTGCTTACTCTCAGAAATGGGGACTCTTCCAACATATCCAGGAATTCTGGGAAGTAGTCCCCAACTTCTTCATCCACTGCTCCAACAAGGCTGATCTGCCGCATGGGCCCTGCTCTGTAGGTTCCACAGCAGTACGTTCGATTGACCTGAAGGACCAGAAAGACAAAAACACCACCACACGTTCAGTGCTGCTACAAGAAATTACAGTTTTCTAATATAATACACTAAGCTACCAATGAGTTTTCATCCAAATCCGTGGCTTGTCTCCATCTGTTTCATTAGTGGTGCCTTGAGGAGCACACAAGGACTTCAGGACGTCTGTGTCTGCAGGGTATCCCAAGAGAAAATAAATCCTTTTTAAACTACTAACAGGACACGCTTCTATTGCTTGAATAACAACCAGGGAGTGCTTGCCTAATGCAGGAGCAACACTTCCAGGCTGACGTGAGAAAACTGACAACCAAAGCTTTACTGTGACTCAGTTTTTCACCAGGAAGCTGGAACTATTAATCACTGCACTTGAGTACTGCTTCAGCATTTCAAACTCTAACATCCCCCAGGTCCTCTCCTTATTACTGCAGTGAAAAACCTGTGTTCCTGCATTTAATGGTTCTGCAAAGAGTGCTACAGTGCATAAAAATCAGAGAATAAACTGAGGAAATGAGAGGTCTAACTAAAAATCAAGAGTCAGATGCACATTTCAGTTTTCATCTTTACCAAGGCTTATTGTTTGTAATATAACCTACCAACACAGCCATGACCAGGAACACCTGAATCTCACAGGTTTGTTTTACATCCTCTGCAGCACAGACCCTGTTCTCAGGTCACAGAATGGCCTGGGTTGTAAAGAACCACACTGTTCATCCAGTTCCAACCCCTGCTGTGTGCAGGTCACCAACCAGCAGCCCAGGCTGCCCAGAGCCACATCCAGCCTGGCCTTGAATGCCTGCAGGGATGGGGCATCCACAGCCTCCTTGGGCAACCTGTGCCAGTGCCTCACCACCCTCTGGCTGAAAAACTTCCTCCTAATATCTAATCTAAACCTCCTCTATCTCAGTTTAAAACCATTCCCCTTGTCCTATCACTATCCACTCACGTAAACAGCCATTCCCCCTCCTGTTTATAGGCTCCCTTCAAGTGCTGGAAGGCCACAGTGAGGTTTCCCTGGAGCTTCTCTTCTCCAAGCTAAACAAGCCCAGTTTACCTTTCCTCACAGGAGAGCTGCTCCAGCTCTCTATCATTAGTGGCCCTCCTCTGGACCCACTTCAAGAGGTCATCACAAAACCTTCCTTGGGAGAGCAAGTGACAACACTAAGTTTGTTTCTCACAGCCATTTATTGATGGAGTTACAGAAGGTATCCTGTGCACCACAGATGGATGAATGAAGTAACCTCGTGTGAAGTGTCTGCTCTTACAGTTTTCCAGCCAACAAATCAGGTGTAATTAAATATCCCATGAAGTTGTTAAAAGGAAATTAGGCGAGATAAAAGTTACAGCTACTGCTGCAATTTTGTCCTCTAGCAGCAGCCACAGATATTCTGCACAAGTACAGAAGTTCAGCTCGCTCCTTCCTCCTCCGTGCACATACAGTTGGTAGCAGTGACACATTTCAATAAAAGCCTTCAATAAGAACTTCAGTGAGAAGCAGGAGCTGATCTCACAGCTCTGCTGCTGAGCCCTAAGCTCAGCTGCACCACATCACCTCCACCTGGATGGTGGAGCTTCGCATCCCAGGTCACTCAAAGGAACACTGCACTGAGTTACACCACCTGAAGCTGAATTAGCACACACTGTCAGCTTCTGATGATACAGATTTTATGTTTGTTTGTTGTTGATTGGGGCACTGTCTTTGGAGACCTGTTAATTCTTTCTGGCTGTTGCCCTAAGTTCAAGTTAAGTCCCCAGATCCTATTAGAACATGACTGGTAAAGGTAGAATGATCTCAGCTGAAACAAACCAGTGTTATCCCAGGTCTGTGCAGCCACAGGAAAACGAAGGACTAAAATGCCCCAGTCCTCAAGTCAGTTACAGTTAACTGCCTCGTGCCATTAAGGCAAGTGAGAGACAGGACTTCCAGACGAGTTATGTTCTGTTGACATGACTTGCTGAGGTTCACTAACATCTCACAGGAGCTTGTCATGAAAGTCAAAATGAATCAGGAGAAAACACACACAGGATTTTCCTTGTAAAAACATTAAATTTTGTAAAGAAAAAAAAAACCAAAAAAGCCTTTTTTTTTTTTTTTTTAAAGGAAGTGGAATGTGATACAAAAGAAATGCGAGAGCTTGAAAGGAGATAAAAATACTTGAAAGAAATGTTGGACTTCTATGTTTAGCTGGTTTTTAATAACAAATATGTACACTTGGATTAAAGTCAGCCTGTGTTTATGCTGAAAGCATGTGCCAGCTCAGTGCAGGCCTGGACAGGCTGCTGCACTCATTTCAAGCCCCACAGTCACAGTGGGAAGAAGTTCATCAGTTTAAAATGTTTGAGAAGTTTCTCTGTGGTTTCAGGGAAAGCAGGAACCAGGTACAGTGATTTTTCAGTGCATCAAGTCAGCTACAAAACCAACCACACAAAGACTTTGCTATAAAAAGAAAGAACACAAGAAGGCTTTCTATTTACAAAGGAGAAGGAAGGAGGAGAGTGTGACATTCTCTACCATTACAGCAGGGGTTATGTTTGTCTACAACCTGCCAGATACATCAATAAGAGCATCAGGCACTGTTCATATTGCTTTTAATTGATACACCACATCTGCAGTACAGATGCACTGTTTTTCTTTAATACTTGGGTAGCTTCTGTTAAAAAAAGAAAGAAATGACCCTTTCTGAATGAAGAGCTTCCTCCAGCAGTAAGAGAAGTTAAAACGGGGCAGCCATCCAACAGCAGGATGGTTCATTGGCCACAGCTGTCAAGGACAGTTTAACCTTTTCTGACAGCATGCTGCAGGAGTAGGAAAGCTTCCTATTATCTATCACCTGTTGGCTGCTTCTCCCATCTCCTTCCCAGAAGCAATATCAGCTTACAGAGAAATCTGATTTTTCCCTCAGCTCTTTCCTCCTCTTTCCTCCACTGTTTCTCAAACCCTTCTTTTGCGAGAATCCTTACAGACCCTACAAGGAAAATGATCAGTTTCTTCTTGGAGAAGAAAAAAGCAGGAGTGGATTGTGAAGGTTAGATACGTTTCATTCTGCAGACTTAGCAGATGTAGTAAGATAACGGCCAGAGAGAGTATGGGTGCCTATCAGCTGCACTGCTAAGAGCATTCCAATTCCTCTGCCCTTATGCAAAGGAATTTACAAGTCACTGTCTTGAAAGCTCCTAGTGTAACTGAACAGCTTTAAACTAAAGCTCAGCTTTAGCATGTAAGTACTCAAACAGATAAGCCAGAGCCAACACCAGCAGGAGAAATCCAGAGAATATTCAAGCTTAAGTACTTTAACGTACAAAACCCAAACACGAGCTAGTATAAATACACACTGGAGTGATTTAAGTACTCCATCTGTACTGTCCTCACTGCCCTGACAGCAGAGGAATTCAATTTGCCAAGGAACTGATCATTAGATTTAGTAAAGTCTTCCAGATTCAGGTCCTTACCTGGAACTCGAGATGCTTTCTAACAATATTCGTTTTCTCTAAACCAGTAAAAGAAACAGTTGAATGCCATTCAAGCCCAAGGCCTGGTTCAGTATAGCAAACAAATTCATGCATACAGAAGGTTCACCATAAAAGCTGAGGCAACTCAACTGAGCATCCTCAGCTGAAAGCAGAGTACACAACACTCCTGGGCCATGCTTGGTCTGCACAGGTGTAACATTACCATTCTACAGCACACTTGTATGGGACATTTCCTCATGTAGGAAAGTCCAAAAGTGAAACTTAGCCAAATTAGGCTGCCAAGCAGAACAACCTGCCTTATCCTCCCCTTGCTCTCCTAAGCAGAGCATTTGGACCATCCGCAAATAAATCTTACACGCCAGCTTGAAAGTTCCAGCAGAATGCAGCTACCGTGGTTTAATCCATCAGCTTAAACACATCTTCATGTTCTGGCATTACCCACACTCTCCAAAGACTCGTATTTCAGTTGTCTTAAGAGCTGTGACAACTTACGCTGCTGTACACATTTGTTCAGTGTGTGAACCACACCAACACACTGCAGGCAGAGGAGATTAAACCCAGCTCAGCATGACCTGCTTAGAGAGGCATTTCAACCCAACTGAACCTAACGTCTGACTCAATCGAGTTCAGAGAGTGCTTAAAATAGAATTAACTGAATACCAGCATAGCCTGTAACCCAAGGAAGCCTCTTATTCACACAAAGCTATTCTGAAGTGAGTGCTGCAGCAGCTCTCCATTGTCAAAAACACTCATAAGCTAAGCAGTATAATTACTGATTTAATGGTGACTGTAACTGCTGGGAAGTATTCAAATACTCTGCAAGTTACCATACAATAACCTTGTAAGGCAGTAACCAGTTTTCCAATGCAAATCTGATACACAAGTGTTTGGTAACCTTCACTAGACCCAGATTACTGCAAGTTATACAGTTCCCAGTTCCTCCTCCCAACAGGTGATCCAATATTCAGGATCTTAACTTCTTTCAAGCACTGTAGCAGAAGCAAGCAACAGTTTTCAGGCTAGACTGAGAAAGAGGAGGTTTTACTCCATCTCTTACAAATTCACCCAAACCATAGCACTGCTGAACGGTCACAGATACTTCCAAGCTTGATGACAAGAGCCAAAGGTAAGGGCTTTTCTTAACAGAATCCCATATTTAGCTTAAATGCCACTGATGAATGCATTTAAGTCACATGAGATATCTTGAGAGCTTGAGCCCTGAGAGACCAGCTTTCAGAACTAAGCTTTTATCCTCTAAACAAAGGATGAAAAGGTTTTACTTCTACAGATTTAAGATAGGCTGAAGCTATCAATATCAAGGCAGTACATAAAGTGAAAGCCTTAAATCAAAGGCTATTAAGAGTATTCCAGCCATCTGACATTGGAAGGCAAGTACAAATTAACACCCCCGTCAGACCCACAGATGTGAAAACAACTTCTCAGGCATGATACACTGAAACCTAAAAAGTAGATACTTAGAAACCTAAAAATCAATGTTACTGCAAACAAAGACTGATCTACTGACAGGGGGGAAGTAACCTTAGCATCTGTGATCTAAGCAACTCTTAACACACATTCGTCTGCGGTTTCAGTGTCAGTATTCTTCCAAGCTCAGAAAAAGATCAGAAGCTTGCAGGAAAATCACTACAGAACTGTGAAAGGTGAGGGTTAGCAGTGCCACAGGTGTGATTCACCAGCTACCTGTGCACACGGAGGAACTTTGAGCAGGCAGAGAAGCAATCATTTTTTCCATCTGCTTAGAATAAAAACAACACGTGCCTCACCTACTTTAGGCTATCCCTGCTCTGGATCAATGAGGTCAACCACATCCAAGGTTGTGAAACTCACACGCTTTTAAACAGATCTTACCTGAGAGTGAAAATTTGAAATTGTTGTTGTTTCAATGTCCTTCTTGCCCAAAATTTCCATTTTCACTGGAGTGTTAGGGAAATTAAAAGCAAAGTAATCCAGGAAGTCTGGTAAATAAGCAGCTGCTCCATGTACTATGGCCAAAGCATAATAAGCTGCGTTTTTATCATTTTCACTGAACGACAAAGCGAGAAACTCTTCTGCAAATCTCTCCATCTCCACTGGAGACAAAAATGAGAGTTCATCCATGTAGGCATGAAGGACCAGGGCACCACCATTGGACTGATGTTCTTCGTGAATGAAGTTACTGAATTTAGTGCCAGTTTTCAAGAAGCTGCTGCGAACAGAATGCTCCTGGTGTGTCACAAACGGTGTCTGTACTCCCTGGGGCACTCGGTACTCCTGCATGCCCAAATTCAGTCTGCAGAGCTGCTCATCCTTAAGATACCTGAAGGATTCCTTGTTCATTTCTAAGTTATCACACTGTCCTTGAGACAAAGTCTCTTTGTCGATGCGGGTGAGCCCAGCACACACTGTCTGCACTTCCTTGTTGTACATCTTCAGACGTTTGCCCCTCACATCTTCCCGATGTTTCTTTTTCTTTTTTTTCTTTATCTTCTTCATAATAAGACTGTCAGCTCGTTGGGTTTTGCCATTTTCATCTTGAGTTTCTAGCAGCAATAACAGAGAGAAGATTAGAGTTCTGCACTGCAGCACATTCACCCAAAAAGAACGAAGACTGCAATTCCTACCATTATCTGTTCCCACAAAGATTGACCAACGGTAACACCTTGTCTTTTGACTTAGAATAAAATAATGGAACAAAAACACAGCACATCCCTTCCTAAGGAAAGCTCTGAATTAAGGAAACCCCCTAACCTCAAGCTTAACATTTCAGAAATACTTCCATCTGTAATAAATTTGTTAGAAAAAACTTTTGAAAGGAGTACATATTTCACAGCATCTAAATTAAGATGCACATTAATAACTCCTGACATTTAAAGCAGTGCCATGCAGAGGAAGAGGATAAACAAGTATCCATAACATTTAAACATCACACTTTCATTATAGAATACCAGCCTGATTTGGGAGACAAAAATATAGAAACAAAACAGTGCAGCTGAAGAGATATGAGCATGACTGACATTTAGAGGGAAAAAAAAAATACTTGGAGCAGTTCACTTTCTGGCAAGAAAACACCTCTGGCCACTGATCTTTCCTATTAAAGAACTGATATATCTGGGCAACAGGATATTTTAAGTAAAGTTTTCATATTCAGCTGAGTGGAAATTGATAAAGTCAAATATAAAGGGATAGCTGTAATACAAACAGGTATCACAAAGTATCCAAACAATCACATCCGTGTGTTCAGTTACCTTGCACCAGTTTGCTTCACAGGTAACTGTCAGCTAAAAAGCACTGACTTATCAGTTTTGGTTTGTTTTTTGAAGTTAATCAACCTTGAAAATGCTGAAAGGCTTAAAGAGATGAATGTAGAGAATCTGTCAAGCAACATGCAGCTTAACTGCTTATCTTTCAGGCTTACAAATACTTCGAACAACGTGGCAAGTAACAATGATAGGAATCTGCTGGTCCAGCTGCTACAAAACCTGAATTGCTCAGATTTTAATCTGCCTGAATCAAAGAACGTGATGTACATAAAACCTAAAGTGCCACATTGTCAGGATAAGCTACAGGCATCAGAGCAATCTGCTGCTGATGGCAATATCTGACCAGGACACGCAATAGCTGAAGCTCTTCCAGTTTCCTAAGCACAGAACTCCATGCTAATCAAATTTCCCCTGTACACAAAGCTATAGTTTATATTTCCTTTCTTTTCTTGCTGTATTTGAAGTTAGAGAAAAAACACACTACAGTCACCTAGGAGAAAAGCTGTAATAACAAATACATGCAGCTTCAATTAGTTAGCTTCACCATGGTATTTAACTGTATCATTAATGCTCTGCTCTCTGAGCTCTGTACTGGAGATGGTTGACCTTCTTAACAGCCTCTTGTAGCAAGCAGCCTTTCTCATGAAAGAAATAGTTGATTGCTTAATATACTAACTCCATACAATTGCTTTAGGACCTGAAATACAAGTTTTGCTGTTATGCCCCAGATTCTACAAGAAGCAAGTGGCTTTATTTTTTATTACTACTAGAGAAGACAAGGAGCAGAAAGGCAGCACCAGTCGTTTCAGTAACTCAAGTGAACCAGCGCCTTCAGTAAGCTTCTCTGGAGGTCTCAGAAGTTAAGCATGCACAATCTCACTCACTCACTATGCTCTCAAGTACAGGTTCTGCTTTTCCAACTGTAAAGAGTGAGCTCAGATCTCATCTCTGGGGAGCCCAGAGATTCCAAGTCCAAGTTGAACCTAAACAAGAGTTTCACGAGACTGCACAGCTGGGAACACTTCTGTGCTGATGTTTCTCATAATTTTTAGATGTTAACGGTATCTTAAACATCTCTAACTTGATATTTGGTTTGAAAAACTCAAATATGCACCAGTTTTCACTGAAAGTACCACCCTGCTTGAAGATATTCCCTAATAACAGATATGCACGTTGCACTTTGGAACACCAGCAAAAACACTGGAGATGCTCACTGTCATCTACAGCCAAATATAGGAACAATACAGACAAATAGGCAGCTTAATTAGATATGAGAAGAAAAGCTGGAGTGAAACAACAGCCCCCTCTCCAAATGCACTAGATGTGCAGTCTGGGACAGGTAATGGGGAGCTTCAGACTCTCAGCTAGCAAACAGCTTTCCTTTGCAAATTTGGAATTTAGATGGTAATTATAAAGAGCATTTAAGTCTTCTTTAAAGGAGGTCTCATTTAATTGCAGGATTAGAATTGACATACAGAGGCACTCCCGATCAAAGAAGGAATACTCCTTTAGTTTATCAGCACTCATCAAGCCAGCAGAGTCCCACAGGCACCATTCAAACAGAGGTTTAGCAGCACTGAACAGTGGCACTTGTGCTCACACAGTCACACAGCAGTGCCTCTGTAACCAAGACCATCGTTACCTCCACAACAGTTTTGCCCATTCTTCAGACACTACAGCTGGAGTTCACACTTCAGACCTCACTCTGTAAGCACCTGCATTCCAGCTTTCCCCAGCACCACACCATCACATCCACTCCTGAAGCAGAATTCACAGCGCATCATCCTCACTACAGCTGCATCCCACCCGTGCTGCTTCTCCTAAGAGGCTTTTTACTACCACTAATCTGTGAGACACTTATCCTGTACTACACACACACACACACACACACACACACACACACACAAAAAAAAACAAAAAACCTTAAATACAGATTCTTAACAGTGAAACTCTGAAGCATTTAGTAAAGAAACAACAAGCTGCTCCTCAGTTCTGCTAAGGCAAGCCTAGCAGGAAGAAGGCTTCGCTTCGGAAGCATTCGCACTCCGGATCCACACCGAGGGCAGTTCCGAGCAGCAGCAGCCGCCAACGGAGCCTCAGCTCCACGCTCGGCCCCGAGCTGCGACCCGCCGTAGGTCAGCAGCGGGCCGGGCCGCGGCTCGGGCTGCCCGCACACACCGCGCTCCCAGCGCACGGAAGCGCCGTTTCCTTTCCTCCCGCCTTCGCCCGTGCGGGAGGCCG